AGAAAGTTTATGTTGACACGAGTAGGCGTGAATTTAATTTCAAAGTGGGTGAGAAAGTATTTCTCAAAGTGTCACCATGGAAAGGGGTGATGAGATTTGGTAAGAAAGGAAAGCTTGCACCTCGATATATTGGGCCATATGAAATCACAGAGAAGATTGGACCAGCGGCTTATAAGTTGGCATTGCCTCCAAAACTATCTCAAATCCACAATGTATTTCATGTTAGTATGCTGAAGAGGTACAAAGTGGATCCTTCCCATGTTATACAACCAGAAGAGATCGAGTTGGGTCCAGATTTAACTTTTGAGGAGGTTCCAGTTGAGATTGTTGATTTTCATATTAAGACTCTTCGTAGAAAGGAAACTCCAATGTTGAAGGTTGTGTGGAGAAATCAAGATAGTGAGAGTGCTACCTGGGAGACTGAAGCAAGTATGCGAGAGAAGTACCCTGAGTTGGTAGCGACCTACTTAAAGGTTAACAATCTTGCTTAGTAAGTTATGTTTTGAACTTGTTGATGTGTTTTTGTTGTGATAGCCTAGTATAGGTTTTTGAAACCTAACCATGGGAAATTGAGGTGCTATGTGTTACTTTCTATGTTATGAATCGCCTAACCTAAGAGTTAGGTAATGGTTTATCTACGATAGACCATGTCAAGGGTAAGTAAGTGGACTTAGAGTACAACTCAAGGATAGATTTCGAGGACGAAATCTTTTAAGGAGGGGAGAATTGTAACGTCCCGTTCCGACAAATCTCATATTTTCGATCGCTAGAAAGTTCGCGATTTAAAATCGAGCGTTTTGATAGTATTTCGGCGAAAATCGGATTATCGATCGATCAGATAAGTATACATATTAATTATATATATATATATAAGAGTCAGTCGGGGATGGACTTATAAATTGCCTGTCCATTTATTCCCATCCAATTCTTCTTCTTCCTTTTATTGCCGAGAAGCAGAGCGCGCAGGGGAACTTTGGCGAGAGCATGCTAGAGCTTGATTCTTGAGCATTAGTAATCCAAAAATCCCGTAAGTAATGCCTAATTCATCTATACATCGTAATTTATCGATTTAGAGCTTTAAAACGAGTTTTTGGTTCAGGAATTTCTGGAATTCCTGATAAGCCAAATTAGGGTTTCGGAGTATTCGGAAGCCGGTTTGAGCCCAAATTTCATATACGAGCTTCCTGCATCAAGGTAATCAATACTCTACTTCTAATCCCTGAATTTCTGCTATTATTTAGATCGGAGCCGGGATCGCTGAATTTAGCTCCGGCCAGGGTTTGATGTGATTTTATTGAGAATTTGACCCGGAGCCTAGAACTAATATTGACGGGGATACTACAGGGGATATCAGGACGGTCTCGGATTTTAATTCGGGGTTCGTTCGTGAAATTGACGTTTTAGTACGAGAGGCTAGAACCGGTGTTTGAACGACCAGAACTGGTGAGGGATTAGCACGGCATACCAGGTTTGTCGTATCACGATAATTATATTGATGCTTAGAATTGACCTAGGTGAACTAGAATGGCATGATTAAGGGTGTATGAAATTTTGTGCTATATGATGAACCATGAACTACTGTATGATATTATTGACTTGCCCTAATCGAGATGGACCTTGTTTATGCTGATGATTTCGTATATGTTGCAAATTGTGGGCTTGACTGTGGATATGCTTTATAATGGTTCGAGAAAGTGATTGGGTATGATTTTTCATGATTGATGTATTTGAACGTATAAGTGGGAAAATATATATCCCATGGTGATTATGATGTTTAAGGAGGATGACTTGCACGAGGGTCTATCCCGAGGAAGTGCAATAATACGACTCCTGTTTTACCTATGTTGAGCCAATTATGGTCAGGTCAAGTACATGTGCAAGTAAGGAATTATGATTAAGCAAGATGAGATATGAATCATGTATAAGGATACCAAATAAGAGTGAGTTGGTCTCATGGTCAATTACATAGTAATTAGGACTCCCCATGCTATTACTCCGTTATGATATGTTATGTCACACCCCTGATGTGGTATTGACCGTTGATTCATCATGAGATATGACCACACCCAGAGGGTGTTGAGTCCGATATGACCACACCCAGAGTGGTGTTAGGTCCGATATGACTACACCGGCAGTGGTGGGTCCGATATGACCACATCCACGAGATGTTTGGTCCGTATTCCCGGGAGAGTAATTAGCATGGGAGTAGCCAGGCGCCTATGATTAAAACATGATAAGATGCATATGCATAAGTCAAGGTGGTTGAGTCTTTTGCCTATTGGGATGTCGGATGGCTGAGGTCTGATCCTAGTGCTTTGGCTTATTTGCTAGATGTATGGTAGGGGTATGCTTTGTTATGAACTCACGATGATATGATTATCTCACTCAGCTATGAGCTGACCCTCTTTTATTCTTCTTCTCTGCTTATGCTATGTGTAAGCAGATCATCATCAGCAGTAGTAGATAAGTGTTAGGTGGGAGAGGAGCTAGAGTTGAAGCCAGGATGAGGTATGGTCTTCAACTATTCTGTGCTTGGACTACTACTCGGGATTTTGGCCAGTGATCCACACCTTTTTGTAAAAAAAATGTTTTGAGAACGTTTTTCATGTGCATACTAGCTTCTGATGTAGTGTGAGATATCCACAGGTGTGGAAAGTTGATGATATGTGTATATGTTGTGTAACTGTGTAAGTTGTGACGATTATGGTATGTATAAGTATGGTATGCAGTTGTGGAGTATGAAAAGTGTGACTATGGCTAAGAAAAGCCAATGCATATGGTTGTGAGTATATATGTTTGTGATGAATTATTTTGCAGGATAAGTTGCAAGAACCGTTAGCCCATTACGCGAGTAATTCATGTCAAAATTTTATTTGGGTAAATTTTGATAATTAATGTAACACCCGAGATTAATTCCGCTGCAATTGTATGAACAATATGATTAGGTAAAACGTATAGGGTAGGGTGTTACATTGTTGATCGCCTAATTTGTCTTGTTTTGACTCTTCTAGTCTCTACTGCTAGTGGGGAACGAGCTTTTTCTGCCATGAAGTTAGTGAAGACCAAACTACGCAACAAAATGGATGACGATTTTCTAGCTGTTGGTCTTATTATTTATATTGAACGTGATATAGTGGACACTTTTAGTTTAGATGATATTTTGAGAGATTTTATTGATCTCAAAGAGCGACGTGTACGTTTAAGATAATAAATAATATTAATATATTTTATATAGTTACTATTATTTTATTGCTATGTTTGGAAATTTTATTTCCCCCCCCCCCCAAATTTAGAATCCTGGCTTCGCCCCTGCCCACATGTGACCTTGATAGGGAATGCAATGATCCGTCCGCTCTTGGTCATGATGGAGAGATGGTTTCTTGCAAAAGAGTTTGAGAAAATTTTGGTGCAATGCGAGTCAACGTTGGAAAAGGAGACCAATAAAAGACAACTCCTAAATCTAAAGAAAGAATAAAGAACACCCTCAAGAGTTCTTGTGCTTAATTATTGTTGAGAAATCCCCCGGTGCAGACCTTGAATGTTTGTCCTAAGGTAGTAAGTATGGTCCTCGCCAAGGAGTTTGTGCATGCACAGTAAGATGATAGTAATGTCCACTCATCTCCGTCTACTCTTCTTTACGCAATGAAGAACTAGAGTGCATCCTCCGTTGATTTGTCTATCAAGTTGCATTGGTTTGAGTAGGTTTGCATGGGGACAAGCAAACGCCTAAGTGTGAGGGAGTTTGATAACACCCAAATTGGTGTTATTTTCCTTTATATTTAGGTTTTTCTTGTGCTAATTCGTGTGCCTATTCATAAGAATATCATTGATTGCATCCCTATTTTGTTCCTATTTGATTATAATGTGATTTTAGAGTGTTTTGGATGATATATGCGAATTAGGTACGAAAAGGGGCACAAGTGTAGCAAAGTAGAAAGGAAGCTGACGATCACGGCCTGAAGGGGAAGATCTCGGCCGAGACAACATGCCACAAAGCTGGAGTGAAGATCGTGGCCTGGGAGCCTAAGATTATGACCACAAATCAGGAGGCCTTGGGCGCGAACTTCCTGAAGAAGCAAACCAAGAAGATAAGAGAGTTTCGCTAGTTTGATCACGATCACCGTCTTCTCTGACTGCGAGGAATTTCACGGCCGCGACTCATGGATCATGACCGTTAAGTCACCCCGCGAACTCCCAATTAAAGAAGACCAAAATGGCAACGCCTGAAGATCGCAATCTCAGAGGAGAAGATCACGACCGCTATCTCCCTGCTCAGCCGCGAACCTGTCCACCCTCACTGAAGTCTATATATAGAGGACCTTTTCCCCCATTTTGGAAGATCTGATTTTGATATAGCAATTCTTGGTTTAGAGAGAGAGAGAAGCTAGAAGAGATGAGTCATCTTTCTCAACATCAAGTATTCTCTAAATTCTTCTATGTATCTTCTTCCCTCATTTATGGAGTAGTCTCTTAAGGTACTAGGGGTTCTAAACCCCAAACCCTAATTTTAGGGCTATTATGTAATGGATGAATATTTTAGGGTTTTGAATGAATGTGTTTTTCTAGTTGATTTTAATGCTTATCTAGCTTTAATTATGCTTGGGTAAGTCGCCCTAATCTTCTTTACTAGCCTACTTGAGCTTTCTACGTTGGGTATGGAGTTTTAGGGTTAGACGGGTATGCACCATATGGCAAATTAGGGTAAGATGATTGATTATGATCTTGTGGTGGACGAGGCGATCATACCCATGCCATAAGAATGCCTTGCTATATGGAACCTCGGTGTGGACAGTGGGTAGTGCCCATTGAAAGGAGCTATGTTCTAAGAACATCATATACGATAGCCTAGATCAAGGTGACTGACATGGATTTAGGGGAGGCGTGTGGATAATCACGAAAGCTAACGGAAAAGAGCTCACTCATCACATTCACTTAACCCAACTTATTTTGACATTGCATGATAGACCTAGGCTAGAGTGAGAGACAGTTCCCCGAAGTACATGTTTTATCCTTGTTTATTCTCTCTACTAGTTTTTCAGTTGAATCCTCCACCACAAACCCCCTTAAACCGAATGTCTAGTTAATAAATGTGGAAGTAGGTTAGGGTACCGGGACCCGAGTTGATACGACCTTGATTGCCACGTTACCGGGTCATACTCCGACTCGGTTTTGACAACATTGGAAATAATATCCACTCCAACTCAAATAAGGTCGGATAATACCCGATAGACTGATTCAAATTGCCATCCTACCCACAGGCCTAAAGCCATCGAAGACTTGAGCAATCAATAGGCCAGTTTTGCTAATAAACCGGCTTATTAGTGTCGCAATTAATCGACATTGACACAAGTAAAAGCGGGAAGTGAAGGGCCTATCTCTCTCTTACTTTCCTCTTTCAAATTTTCCTCCATCCTCTCTCTAACTTAGCATTTCCTTTTCATATTTCAGGGGCTACCGCCGCTCACCTTACTGGCGGTAGCCCAAGGAACCCTTTCTGTTTTTGTTCTTACTTTCCAGCTCCTTTACCTTTGTTTGTTTGCGTTTTCGGATTTCCAGCTGTTTAGTTTTTCCTGCCTTTGTGGCTTTTCCAGTCCCTTTTCTAGGGTTCTTCTTCCTGGGTTTGCTCTCCTTGGGGCTGGGTTATGCATCTTGTGCGACTCCTTCAATTCCTATGGTGGTCACCTCTCAAGATGGTGGATTCTTTGTGCTGCATGGTGAATCCATTCACCGGTTCCCCCTTGGATTCCCCTGTTGTGTGGTCTGCCTCTTGGTCGTTGTGAGTGAGAGGAGGACGGTGTCTAATCCTGTTGGCCGTGGTGGCATCTCTTGGTTTGTGGAGGTTGCGTTCGTTGGCTCTCGTCTTGACCAAGACCAGTACCTCGGTTCTCCCTGCCTCTTCAGCTCGGAGCATTTCGATTCTCAACCTTAACCACCGCCATGTAATCTCACATCTGCGATTCACTGTGCTGAGACGTCTTTGAGCATCTCCCAGGAGGCGGCTTATGGCTTTGTTGTGTTCAATAATCATGGTTTCGGTCGAATCGAACAAGCTGATTGTGTTCGGTGCTACTTTGGTTGATGTGGTTGCAAGAGAGATTTATGGGTTTTCTATTTTTGGATCTAGAGTTTTCATATCCATTGTTTTAGTTGAATCATTCTGTGTTTGTGCTGCCATTGTATTCCTGAAGCAGAGATTGTTTCAGCTGTGTGCTGTTGGGATTTGTTCTTGATCTTTTTCTAGTTTTCCTATTGGTTTCTCTTGTAATATGTCATTCAAAATGCAATGCAAGCAATCCCTTTGTAAAAAAAAAACACTCTTAAAAGCCCAAAACAAGGCCGCGAAATCAGAAAACTCGAAACCAATATTTTGGAAACCCCAAAAGTTTTTCCCGCCTGAAAAGAAAAAGAGCGAAGCACCACCGCTTGCCACGCTGGCAATCCTGGCACAGCTCTCTCAGCCAATCAAATTGCACTCTCGCCACATTATATAAACCCCTCACTGGCTCCCCTTCATACACTATATTCGACGTTTCCCCATCTTCTTCTACAATCTACTCGCTCCACATCTCCGCAATCTAGGGTTAGGGTTATCTCCAGTTTTCATCAATTTTCAGACCGGGAAATATGAGTTCAGCTGGCGCAACAACCAAGGGAGGCCGCGGGAAGGCTAAGGCGACGAAATCTGTCTCCAGATCTTCCAAGGCCGGATTGCAGTTCCCCGTCGGAAGAATCGCAAGGTTTCTAAAAGCCGGCAAGTACGCTGAACGAGTTGGCGCTGGAGCTCCCGTCTATCTCTCCGCCGTCCTCGAGTACCTCGCCGCTGAGGTTCTTTACCGCTGATCCACTTTTCTCTTTCTGTAATCAGATTTGGTGATTAGGGATTTATTTTTTATGTTCATTTGATTTTTTTGATGGCTAGGTTTTGGAGCTCGCGGGGAACGCCGCAAGGGACAACAAGAAGAACAGAATCGTTCCTAGGCACATCCAGCTGGCGGTGAGGAACGACGAGGAGCTGAGCAAGCTTCTCGGATCGGTGACCATTGCAAACGGCGGTGTTCTACCAAACATTCACCAGACTCTTCTCCCGAAAAAGGCTGGTGGGAAGGGGGACATTGGATCTGCTTCTCAGGAGTTTTGAGGATCTTACAAGCTCTAATCAAAGGCATTTCTGTATTTTTTGGCTTCTAGGTTTTTCGGATGGATTTTGATCAAACAGTTCTGTGATATATAAGAGTTCGAAGTTTCTTCTCCCCTGAAAGTTTCTTAGTTGAATGTTAAAGTCGAAGGTTGCTTTCAATTGCATTGATGCAGAACCCTACTGATTGCCTATCTGCCTTGACTTTCACCAGTGTTTCACTAGCTTGTTGATGGTTGTGATTTGTGAAGTCTGAATATGGTGTTGAGTGCAGCCCATTTCGTTTGAAATCTGTTTTGATTTCCTCCGTACTTAGCCGCCTGATTATGTTGTGGAGATGTAGAAAAAGTATAGGTTCAGGTTTTGGAGGTAAAGAGTCATAGCCAAAGATCATGTTCATCATTTGGATGTTTTAATAGCCTTTTTGAGATCAGTAAGGTGCCTTCTGAATGTCCATAGTGAAGGTACTTTGCAACTAATCAGTCTTTTATTGTGCAAGATAACGCCTTTAGAATCTGACAAACGATTGAAATGATTAGTCCTGATGATGATTTCCCCAGCTACCCAGATGATGAATTAGTACTTCTGATGATTTCCTCAGCTACTCGGATGATTTCCTCAGCTACTCAGATGATGAATTAGTACTTCTGATGATTTCCCCCTGCTACTCAGATGATGAATGTTTAGTAGAAAAGATTTGGAAATTTGGGTTCTGTTTTCCGGCGAGGATAATTTTTATGGGTAAACAGAAGGTTCTCTTCTTTTGGTTTCACTTTTGATGAAATCTTGTACAGCAGTCAGCTGTACCCCCTTCTCTTTGGTATCGGGTTGTTTCTTTCGAGAATTTGAGGATGACCAACCTGGATTCTGGATATGGTATTTACTGGTGGCGTAGATTAGATTTGCGGGGGAGTGAAGACCTTGTGATGCTGCATATCTTTCCACTTTCGGGAATTGGTAATTTCGTGCTAGAGCTCCAAATAAGTAATCGACTATGAATTGGCCAACTTCATGCTGCACATTTTAGAAGGTGAAGTGAAATGACAAGACTTTGCTCAGGGGTGGTTTGGATAGATAATTTCAATGAGTTATTTCGGTCCAAATAACTTACATTTGGGTCGAAATAACTCGTTTGGATACCAAATGGTGGGATGAGTTAATTGAGACCGCGTTATTTCTAAATAACACGATGTACCCTTGTTATTTGAAATAATGTGTCGGTGCATCTTTTCCTCACTTTTCTGCCCCTCACCTCTCTCCTTCCTCCTTTTTTCATTTCGTTCGATTCTTCTCTCCAGATGCAAAATCGAATGAAGGAAAATCGATTCTTCTGCTAATTTTGGATTCCTTTTTGCATGCAGATCACATTGAGTATAAGGATGACAATTTTACCCATACTCATGAGTATTTTACTATCCAATCCAATTAGGTTGGGTATGAAATCCAAATAGATGGATATGGGTAGAGTTTGATGGGTTTGTACCCATACCCATTTAACAAATGGATTTGGGTTGGGTTTTTAACAAATGGATTTGGGTTTGTACCCATGCCCAAATGCAAATTACAGTTTGGTATCTAAACATAATAGATATACATATTTAGTACCTAAATTTATTTTTTTGCATATAAGTCCCCAAAATATCGATGGAAAATTACGTTTTGGTACCTAAATTTTTTTGATCTTACATTTTGGTACCTAAAATTTTCAAGTTTTACAAATAGGTCCAATTTTGATATGTGTAGTTAAAGCACATTCAAGTAAATGGATATCCATATCCAACTCATACCCATTTAGATTATGGAAGCAAAATCATACCCAACCTATCTACAAACCCCCAAACCCATATGCACTTCACCCATACCCAACCCATTATCAATGGGTCTACTAGGATTTGGGTATTTACCCATGGGTGGGTAATTGCCATCCCTAATTGAGTAGGTGGAAGCTTAGGTTTCGACGGTGGCCTGAGGCAAGTTAGGAGGCGGCGACCACGGTAGAACTTCCTTGGCGATGAAGAAAGAGGTTTGTTAGAGTGGCCGAGCTTCGTTGACGGCGACGTAGAGCTTCGTAGGCGACAATGGAAGAGGTTCCTTTGGAGTGGCCAGCTTCATTGGCGACAATGGTCATTTGGCTGAGTTTCGTTGTCGACAAATCCTTCCTCTGTTTCTTCTTCAAGTCATCACCTTCAATCAATCTGGAGCTGGGTTTCAATTTTATGTTTATTGAATTAGGGGGTTTCTGATAAGAATTGCAGGTGCATGATAAGAATTGCCGATTAGGGTTTGTTTGCAATTGACAACCGTCCCGTGAACTCTAACCTTTAGAGGTTGCCGCCGTGGTGAAGAGACGATAGTGCCGAGTGTTGATGATTGTGCACTCTTTGCAAAAAAAATGTTCCGACCCCACTGGTCAAGAGAGTGAGTGATTCATTCTTACTTTGCATGTGATATCATACCCCGGTGAGGACCTTTGTTGCCCATTCGTTCGTTCCTTGGACTTGAATGTTATGCATTGTTAGTTGTGGTTTATACGTGATCTTGTTGAGACTTGCATTGATTCATGAACAAGGTGAGAACTTTTCGTTTGCCCATTTTTGGTGACCTCGAATGTCGTTTGTGGTGGATGTCGGTATTGCTTACAACGATCCATGTGTTAATTGCCAATAGCCATTGCGATTCACCACTTTGTGCCCTTTAATTTGTCTCCAAAGCATTTTTATAGGTTGAGAGATTATCTTGTGTGAAATGGTTTGCTTGGGGACAATCAAACATTTAAGTGTGAGGGAGTGATTCAGGCCTAACTGTACACTTTTTACCCCCAATTATCTTTGACGTTTGTTGCAATTGAACTCCAAAAAGGTTGGTTTTATGCTAGGTTCCTTGTGTTTTAGTGTGTTTCAGATCCTAACAGGTAAAACCAAACCTGGAGTCGAAAGTTGGAAGAAAAAGGAGCAAAGACCGGGCAAAGAGGTGGAGACTGGAGATAGCCACAGTTCACGGCCAGACGTTGGAGTTCACAGTCTTACATGACCGTGAACTGGAGACATGGCCCGTGAAGCGAGGAGCAAACACAAGGGGTTTTCAAGTTACTAGCGCCCAAACAGTTCACGGTGCTAAGACCGTGAACAAGGGCCGCTGACCGTGAACCCAAGCAAATGAAGCGGTTCGTTTTGGTCGCAGCACTGAGTTCACGGACGCGTTTCAATGTTCACGGCCGTGAACTCAGCGCCATCTCCCACTGAAAAGGAAACTTGAAGCAAAGAAGAAAGGAGAGAGACCTAGAGGAGAAAACTTCTCCTTCTTCAGATTTTAGAGTGAGAAAGTGACGAACCAAAGAAGAGGAAAAACTATGGTTTGATCTCCAAGCAAGGATTTGGGTTTTCTTCAGCTCAAGGAGCAAGGCTTGAATCTTCATGATGGTTTTCCTTTCCCTCATTTGTGTGTTTCCCTTCTCCTAGCATAGAGTAGTCCCTTATTTCACTTGGGTGTTTGAAAACCCTAGCTAAAATTATGTGAATGCTTGTAAGAATTGAATGATTTGTGTGTGGTTGTGTTTTAATGTGAATGTGGAGGTACTATTCAGAAATAATTGTGTTGTGTGAAAGTCTATCAATCTAATTGCCAATTTAACCTAGATTAAAGAGGAGACCTCCTTAGGTTAGGAGGTTCATTTGGTGTTCTTGGGCATTTCAAGCCACCTAAGCGAGTTTAGAGAGGAAACCTCCTTAGATTAAGAGGCTCATTATTGAGATGGGGTTCTTGGGCATTTCATGCCTCTTAGGCTAGTTTATAGAGGAAACCTCCTTCACCCAAGAGGTTTGGTTTCTTTGGGATTTCAAAGCCTCCTAAACTAGTTTAGAGAGAATCCTCCTTAACCCAAGAGGCTCATTTCGAGATGGGTTTCCTTGGGTATTCAATGCCTCCTAAGCTAGGTTAGGGAGAACCCTCCTTAACTTAAGAGGCTCTACTAGAGATGGGTTTCGTTGGGCATTCTATGTCTCTTAGTCTAGGTTAATTAAAGGGAAAACCTCCTAACCATTCCTTAGTCGATATGCTGAGAGGGCTAGGGGTGTACATGGGTCGGGTGGTTCGGGTTTAACCATTTTAATCACCCGACACATGCACTACGGCTTGGGAATTATCAAACCCAAACCCACCCAAAAAAATTTAAACCCTACGGTTTGTTTTTAATTGGGTTGGGTCGGGTTAGTGATATTTTTATGTAAAATCCCAACCAACATAAAATATCTAATTATTATACATCATAAAAATATATTATAACTAATTAAAATTTCAAACAAATAAACCGAGGTGAAAGGTATCAAAATTCACTAATGGTTTTTGAATTTTGTTAAAATGTGATTTACTTCAACATATGTCTAGTTTTTTTCACTATATTTGTTGAAAATAGACTAAAAAGGTTATAAACAAAAGCATCCATAATATGTTATTCTATTAAAATTGTACACAAGAAAAAGGATTACGTGAATCATAACTATATTCAATTTATGTCTAAACTTTATGTCGAAGAATGCATTAGATTAGGGAGACCATGATAGAAAAACATGGCGAAATATCTTAATTTTCTCATAAGTATTGCTATATACGACATAAATATTTTTTAGATACGAACTCATACTAATAGTTGGAACACAGGTTGGGTCGGGTTCCACAGGTTGTGTAATCCAAAATCCATACCCAACCCAAAAGACGCGGATTGTACAAAAGAAAACCCTCACCCAACCCAAAACCTTTGTTTTAGCGATAAATACGGGTGGGTTGGGTCGGGTTGGACGGGTGGGTGTGTTTGTGGGTGTGTTTGTTCACCTCTAGAGAGGGTCACATCAGTGGCTTGATCATATCCCATTCCTCAACCTAGAGTCTAAGAGGGTAACTTTGGTTGCTTGTTAGACTTCCTTGCGGTTTATATGGAAGACTAGAGATTGCTAATCTGCTTAACCCCCTAACCACACACGTTCGTTCGATTCTTCAAGTCATAATTGTTAGCTAGGAGGAGCAACATCCGGGTGAAGCTTTCTCAACTAGAGTTAAATCCATTTTACCTTTGCAAAGTAATTTAGTTTTCAACCTTTGTTTTCACCAAAACCGATCCGCTAGATAATGTTTCAAACAATCGAAGTAGCGGTACATGGACCAGCCCAGGTCCATATTTAAACATACTTGCTCTATATTGCATCCATCTGAGGTTTATACTTGGATCTTAGGTGAGATTTTATTGTGATAGTTAGAGGGAGTCACTAATCTGGGTTTATATCGTAGCATTGTCGGTGGCCTTTCATATTTGAGTTTCACTCGCCTGGACTTATCCTTTGCAGTAAACCACGTCTCATAGTTCCAACATGCTCCGACGGATGCTCACTGGTCTGCCGTCAAGCATGTGCTTCATTCTGCAAGGTACCTTGAGTCAGGGACTTGTTTTCCGTCGTACGTCTTAACCGGAGCTACATGGTTACTCTAATGCTTCCGTTGCATCTTGTCCACAAGATCGCAAGTCTATTACCGGATTCCCAGTCTTTTACGATGACAATCTGGTTTCTTGGTCGACACACAAGCAGAAGGCAGTGGCTCGCTCATCTACAGAATTTGAATATTGATCACGAGCAACCTTGGCATCCGAAGTAATTTGGCTTCATGCTTTGCTGACTGAGCTCGGCTGTCCATGGTGTGATATACTTATGTGCCACTTACTTGGCTCATAATCCTGTGTTTTATTTTCGATCCAAACATCTTGTAGATTGTATCAGGGTTAAATTACCAACGGCAAGTTAATTCTTTGCGTATTTAACAATTTCACCACTTAATCATTTCACCACTTAATCGCTTGGTTAAATAGGAATAATAGTTAGAGTAGCAATATATCTAACGACCCACGAAACATGATCTCGATCACCATTATACCGCTTTGCCGACCTGGTGCGCTTGTACTAAGTAGGAGTAGTTACCAAATTTTATTACTGGACATCAGTCAAGTTTAAAACAAAGTAATGGTGAAGTTAACATTCTATTGAAATACGATTCGAAACCGCTATACTATCTCATCAACTAACCATCAAAGACGGGCAAACAAATTCACAGAAGTTTCAAAAGGAATCACAAAAATTAATGATAGTCTTCATGTTGCAAAACATGGATATTGGATAACGTTAATATAAACAAACGATAGGATCTCCCACTCCATATTCTGATTACACAGGTACACAACAACAAACAAAGAAAGGAGAAAGGAACAGACCGCCGACAAACGAAAAGAATTCTGGTTAAAGACTAAACACAAGCACGACCAAATAGCATTGCATCCAAACTTCTGCAGCAAGACCAACATTCTCTAGCTTAGCTAGTTAGAACTTAGAAAGCTAACATAAGTGACGGAGACCACAAGCCGGGAATTTTTCTCTCAAGGATTAGTCCTGAAATGGTGGTGGCGATCACTCAACTGGGAGTCTGATTTCGGACCTGCGTTGTAGCCATGAAGCAGGTCGTGAATCTTGGAATATGACAGAACCTGTGACGGATCACTCCCACCACTGCCACCACCGCTTTGTGACGGCCTTGAACTTTCCTGAAGTTTAATTTTCTCGAATAGATACTGTTTTTCTGCCTCGGCTTCACTCAGCCTTTGCTTCAGATAACTGCTGGCATAGTCTTCCTCTGATTTCTCTGTCTTCGCGAGAGCTATCCTTTGCAATCTCTCGGCTTCTCTTTTAGCTTCGTTGGCTTTAAGCTGGAACATGTCAGCTTCAGCTTGCTTGAGCCTCACAATTCTTTCCAACTCGTCTATCTGTAGCTTCTTCTTTTGCCTATCTAGTTTCAGCTCAGTCACCTCCTTGGCCTTCTCCTCCAGCTCACGGTCACATGCTTCAAGGCCCATGCGGGCTTTCTTAAACATTCGCATTTTCTCATCGGCCACCATTTCCATCTTCCTTATGGCTTCCTGTACTACTTCCGCTATTCTGCTGCATGCCTCCTGTGGGGCTATTAACCTTCCACCCTCACCATTTTCAAGGCTCTTTGGTGAGTCAACATCGAGCTCTATGGAAAAGGAAAAAGTTATTCAGAACAAATGTACAAGGGGTTGCCTAGACTAGGTCAATAACACCCTCTTTTCACGCTATATGATTGGATTTTCTGGATATACAGTGTTCATCGTCATCCTTAGTTTGATTCAGTTGTGCTACAGTTATCAAGCAAAATATATGAATTAGGTAAAAGAATCATTTAAGATATACTTGCACTTCAAACATTATATAAACTTAATTGGCTACATTTCAAGAAATTCATCCATTAACCATACACCAACTTGACCAATAAAGCCTAATTATGCACCGAGTCCAAAATAAACGTCTTAGTATGAAATGTGGTACTGAAAATGAAAACAATACTTGACTCAGCACAAACTTAAGTACCAAGAGATTTGTGAGCATTACTGTCCAGGCCATGAATGAGCTACCAAAAGCTAACTTGTTAATTGTTATCATGACTTCTCATGCCATGAGACATGTAATTTTGTGGGTAAGGTTCTTGCAAATGCAGTAGCTAATATGAGAAAAGAAACCCTCACCTTGGAAGAACATCAATATTGCTCTGCAAGAAGAAGACTCTGGAAGCCCACCCTTCATCTTCTCAATAAGTTCCTCACACTTCCAAAACAGTTTGCGCCCTCTGGGGTCTTCACTACCACGGAAGATTCTACTGACAAAGTCAAGTTCCCTCATCAGAGCATCTCTCTCCCATGCAGGTGCACAATGTTGGAAAACATCCTTCACCCAACCCAAGAGCTCAGATGTTCTGTTACAAGCTCGACACCTGAAAAGCATTTCGGCTGGTCCAGCTCCAGTTTTGGAAGACAACCCCATAGATATTTGCCCATCACGAATAGCACAATCAGTATGAGTCCAATGAGAACACAAGTCACAGCCAATCCACCGACAAGTGTTCACTTCAAAATCAAACTTGTTGCAGATCACACACATGCAGAGATTGCAGAACCCGTTCCTGTTGGTGCATATATCGCAGGTGCAATCATCAGCCGGAAGTTGGTTCTGGCAAGCTATGTTTCTACATCTCTTGAACACAAAAACCTCGATCAGAGCAGTTTGTGAGAGGCTGATGTTGGGATGCAAGAAAGCCTGAATCCCTGTGTTAATCGCCACAAGGATCTCTAGCTGCAGACGGTGTGCCCTTATCAATGTCTTGGCAGTCAAATCGGACCTACTCTGGACAAGCTTCTGCAAAATCAAGAACTCCTCTCTCTGTTGCGACCCACCATTTCCCTCGAGTATCATCCTGAGCCCATTCTTCAGCTCGTCGAGAAACTCATCAGGCAGCCTGTGCATCTTCTCTGCCACCACATCGACCCGCTCTCTAGCTATGTCGCGAAGAGATATCCTATCAGCAGAGGAGACGCGGCGAATGACAGACTGCTCCGGGGGGCAATCGTTGCTGTTCTCAGCCTTGCCATTACCCTCCATCTGCTTGGACGCCGTTAAGGGATCGGTAGTAGGCCAAGTCTCCCGGGAACTCGCACTCTCTGTAGGGGACTCGCGGCGGTTATCGGAGTTGGACCTTGGCTCCTGACCTTCTGGGGACAAGCGAGGATCCGATGAAGGGACGAGGGATAATGAGGTGTGCAGTCCAGTTGGGCGGGGATTCTGCTGACGTGGAGGCAACATTGAAGACGAGTTATTCTGGTGGTGGATGTTGGAACCAGAGGATGTGCCCATCAACTACCTCGCCGGACCTGCATTACCAGACCAAAAGCTCAAGGAAGATTCCTAATCACGGGTGAACAAGAATCATGAGCTTAGAGCAAACGAATTTCACAACCGACAGAAACAGTCAGACACTGACTTATTAGCTGCCTGCAAGCGAGCGGAGACAAATAGGAAACAGAAAATTCTGGGACTGGAACCCTAACGAGGGGGCAGAAGGAGAAGATCTGGGGGGGGGGGGGGGGGGGGGGGGAAATTAAACATATGCCGACTGATCCATTCCAGAGGGAAATCGGATCAAGGAAAAGTGATAGGGTTGCATCTCGCGGGAGCTTAGAAAGTCGATAAAGAGAGATAAGGTAAGGAAGCAAGCGTCAACGCAAGTCAGAATGAAAAATAACAGCCAGCAGGAAGACAAATCTAAGCACGGAAAGGCTATGGGGATGGTCATGCCAAACAGAGTTTTCGCGGCCAAACAGGATGCAAGGGAAGTTACCTGAAGTAAGGGAGCTGACGGAGCTAGCCGATCGGGCGGAGGAGAGAGACAAGGGAGAGAGAGAGAGAGAGGGAGAGGATATGAGCAGTCACAACGGACGGAAGAAATAGGCGTTTGACGATTGTGCCCCTCGGCGGGGAGGAGGGAGAGAAGACAAGGAACCTGGGGTAGAACCGAGGAACATGGGTAAAAGGGGAAGAGAAAGAAAAGGAGACGGCTGGGCTGACGACTGACTTTTGCTGTTGAACTGGTCTTTTTGTTGATGAGATGACCGGCAGAGGGCGAGTTCCAGCGGGTGCGGCACACGGTTTTAGCCGGTCGTCCCCGGTAAATATAGTTTTTGGGTGGTTTGGTTTTATAGTTAAATTGATACATTTTTATTCCTACATATAATAATTCCTACATATAATAATATACATGTATATAAGAAAATTCGTGTATAGTAGTTTATATCGTTTGGTTTATATGATAAGTTATTGTAGTATTTAACTAAGGTATGTTACTTTTTGTATGAAATGTCACTTTTACCTTTTTTATATAGGGATAATACCACTAGGAAACCAAAATATTAAGAATGTGTCATTTGTATCCTAAAGTATCCAATATGACATTTGTGTCCTAAAAAGGTAGGGACATGGTTGAAAAAAAAAAAGACTAAATAGTCTCAAATCTCAATCAAACAATCTCACGAAAAACTTGAGATTTAACTATCACTCAAATGAATGATAGTTTGTGTCATTTCAAGCAAATAATGCATGTAATGTTTGTGCAGAAAATAAAAAAAATAATACGTTATGGACAATGCATGCATTGTAACTATCCCAACCAAACAATCATCGAAACCAAACGACCAGAATAATGGAAAACAAAAGGCATTTAGCTGGTGTACCTAGAAATTACACGAAATTGAGAACATGTTGTGTTTTGTTACTTGGCTTCATTAGACTTCGATTAGTTTTAATATGGGTTTTAGGTATAATATACCCCTCTACTATGTAGTTTTATCAAACATGCCCCTCTACTATTCTTTACATCAAATATTTCACTGTGCTTTGTAAAAATGATCAAACATGTCCTTCTGTTAAAATTTGCTTTCAAAAACAGTCAACCATGGTCGAACCTTGGTTTGGCGACACAAATGTCTAAAATATTCTTCATAATTTCCCTTTAGAATTGTTTTGTTTCATTTGTATACCCAACTCTAATAATTTCAGCTTAATGAGGTCCAGAGAAATAAATGAGGGGACTTAGTGACTATCAATTTTCGTTAATAAAAGATCGGCAGATTATTGATAACGTCCTTCTTGGGCATGAATTAATGCATTATCTCAAAATAAAAAAGCAGGGGAAGAAGGGGTACATGACTCTAAAGGTTGACATGGAAAAGGCCTATGATAGAGTCGAATGGCCCTTCCTTCTGGCAGTTTTGGATAAGATGGGCTTTAATTCTGTCTGGCAAGGATGGGTTCAAGAATGTCTTAGATCTGCTACTTTTTCGGTTCTGATGAATGGTACGCCTTCGGGTTTTTTCGGCTCCTCTCGGGGACTCAGGCAGGGAGATCCGTTGTCGCCTCTCCTGTTTGTGCTTTGTACAGAGGGGTTTGCGACCCTTCTTCGGAAGGTGATCTCGGAAAAGAAGTTAGAGGGTGGTGCCGCGTGCTCCTAGGATCTCGCATCTGTTCTTCGCGGATGATTCCTATCTATTCCTGCGAGGTTCCCTTCAGGAGTGTGAGAACTTAATTGTGGTGCTCAATGAATATGAGGAGCTGAGTGGGCAGCGGGTTAACCTGGAAAAGTCGGCAGTCTGCTTTAGCAAAAATGTTGCCTTGGCTGATCAGGAGTTTTTGGCTACGATTCTTGGGGTCGGTGCAGTGGGGGTTCATGATAAGTACTTGGGGTTACCCACGTTGATTGCCCGATCCAAAATGGCGACATTCAGGTATCTGGAGGAGAAATTACTGGCGCGTCTGCAGGGGTGGAAACGGAAAACTTTATCCTGGGCGGCCAAGGAGACGTTGATTAAATCAGTTGCTTTGGCCTTGCCCCTGTATGTTATGTCATGTTTCCGGTTGCCCCTCTCCCTTTGTCGTTTGTTGGATAAACATGTGGCCCGTTTCTGGTGGGGAGTTGAGGATGGTCACCCCAAGATTCGGTGGGTGTCCTGGCGGAACCTTTGCCGGAGCAAGCATGAAGGGGGTTTAGGTTTTCGCAGGTTTGAACATTTTAACCAGGCTCTTTTAGCAAAGATTGGCTGGCGTATTCTCCATGAGCCAAACTCCCTCCTAGCCCAGGTTTATAAAGGGAAGTACTTTCCTTGTGGATCTTTTCTGACTGCTACTGCCCGGTCTAGGCCTTCTTGGGGTTGGCAGCGTATCCTATTTGGGCGTCAGCTTTTGGACGCAGGGTTAAGATGGCAGATATGCAATGGCCTCTCGGCCTCCCTTGTTCATTCTAAATGGATTCCTGGGCTTCATCTGGATGCCCCTTGCTATAATCCCCGCATCCTGCCAAATGGGGGTGATCCCGTGGTGGCGGAGGTTATTTGTCAAGGGGAAGGGCGTTGGGATGAGAATAAGCTTAGTCAATGGTTTGATCCTTCTGTCTGTGGGGCCATTAAGGCTATCCCACTTCCGAGGCAGAATGTGGATGATAAACTTATATGGCATAACACTGCTGATGGGGTGTTCTCGGTTAAGACGGCTTACCATTTGGCAGTTGAGCTTGACAGGAGGAGGGGTGGGTGGCGGGAATCGCTGAGCTGGATGGATAGGAAAAGCTGGATCCGGTTGTGGGAAGCTAAGATCCCTCCAAAGCTTAAAGCCTTTGTCTGGCAAATTTTGAATCGGGCCCAGCCAACCACAGAGGCGCTCATTGAAAAGGAGGTCCCTGTGCTGCCACGGTGCCCGGTTTGCTGGGAGGGGCCCGAGATGTTGGAGCACTTATTTCTTTACTGCCCGGTGGCACGGGCCCTCTGGGACTACTCGGGGTTGGAGTATTTAGGGAAGGCTTTGCCTAGGCACACGTTTCCTCTGTTTCTAAAGCGGATGCTTTCTCTTGTCCATGATCCGTCGCTGTTTATGGCGGTGGTTGCCATCCTCTGGCGGATCTGGCGATCGCGAAACTGGGTTGTCTTTGAAGGCAAACAGTTTGGGATTCCGGCATTAATGCGCCAATTTCACCAGCAATATGAGGAGTGGGTGGGTCTGCCGGTTGACCAGCAGCCAAGGATGTCTTTCCAAGTGGTCCAGACCGGCGTGGATGACTCTTGGTTGGTTTGAATGTGGGACGGGGCAACTAGGAGGGGGTCGCACTTGGCTGGTGGGATGGTCCTTTGTGGTCCGGGAAGGACGATCATTCGGGCTAAAGGTGTGCAATTTGCACGAATGGATGAGCCGATGGTGGTAGAGCTGCTAGTGCTGCGTGAGGCTATTACTTGGTGTTTAGAGTGGGGTTTGTCCGATGTTCGGTTCGAGGGGGATGCGAAGGTCATTATTGACAAGATTAATCAAGTCGATTCGCGTGACAATCACTTGGGGGCAGTCCTGGAAGAAATTTATCAATATTTTGCTGCCCATCCGGGGTTTAGTGTGCGGTTTGTAGGTCGGGATAACAATAGGGTAGCTCATTCGGTAGCTAGAAAAGCCCTCTCTTTGTACCCGAATGGGAATCACTTGTTTGATTTCAGAGCCTGTCTGCTTTCCAGGATGTAACTATCTTTTTTATTGGAGTAATATATGATATCTTTTGACAAAAAAAAAAGATAAATAAATGAGGGGAAAGACTGACATTTTCCCCCCAATGTTGCCAATGTCGGGTAGTGTGAATCTCGGTTCATGATTCGAGGCTAATTGCACACATTTTATCCCTATTTCACTTGGGCATTTGTGGCATTTGTGCTCCTAAAAGGTTGGTTTTACGCTAGGTTTTGTATGTTTCAATGGTTTTCAGTAGGGCTGACAAACGGTAATACGGTAACCGGTTTACCGTTTTACCGAACTGATAACGGTCGGTAAACGGTAAACCGGTTACCGTTTTACCGAACCGGTAACGGTTGGTAAACGGTAAACCGGTTACCGTCGGTATCGGTATTCGGTGGCGACGGCGAGGATCCAATTTACCGGATACGGGGTTGGTATTTACCGTCGGTAAATCGGTAATTACCGAATAAGGAAGGCGCGGCACGCTGCGTTTTGGCCTTTTGGGAAGTGAATGAAACCCAAAGTCGGCGAAACCCTAGCTGCTGAAGCCTGCCCAAAACGCGAAGCCTCGCCTCCTTCCGTCCTTCGTTTCGACCTTCGAACCTCTTCTTCACCCTCTTCGATCCATCGACCTTCTTCCCTTCCCCTTCGCACGCAGTCGCCGACCCAGAACCGGAAGTGCAGAAGACACCGCCGGCTCTCCTTCTCCAGTCCGCGACAGTTCGACTCGACCTTCGTCCCTTCCCCTTTGGCGGCCTTCGCACGTAGAGTCGCCGACCCAGAACCAGAAGTGCAGAGGAGAAGACGCCGCCGCCTCTCCTTCTCCAGTCCGCTTCTCCCGCCGCCTCTCCTTCGCCCGCCGCCTCTCCTTCTCCTCTCCGCTTCTCGTCGACGGCGAAGAAGCGGAGCCCTGACTCTCCCTCGCCGACGCAGCTTCAAAGAAGGGGACCTCCATCCTCCATTCGAGCGGTAATTCGGTAATCGGTAAACCGGTTACAAACCGGTATCGGTAACGGTAAACAGTTTTGGCCAGTTCGGTATACCGAAACCGGTAAATTCGGTAAACAATTTACCGTTTACTGACCGATTCCCACCCCTAGTTTTCAGGATTCAATAGATGAAACCCGCCCCAGAGTCAAAAGTTGGAAGAAAAGGAGCAAAGACCGGGCAAAGAGGGTGATTCAGACCATGTACACAGTTTTACATTGGAGTTCACGGTATTCTAAGGCCGTGAAATGAGGCCATAAACCGTGAATCCCGAAGCGTCCAGGGCGCATTCTGAAGTTACTGACGCCGAGTGAGTTTACGGTCACTAAGACCGTGAACTTTGAGTGCAAACCGTGAACTCGGGTGAGTAAAGTGGTGCGTTTCGACACAACACTCCAAGTTCACAAACGCGTTGAAGAGTTCACGGCTGTGAACTGAGCCCGATCCAAGTATAAAACGTGAGCTGAAAGGAAGAGAGAGGGAGAGCCCAAGAGTGAGAAAGCACCTTCTTCTTCAGATTTTAGAGAGTAAAAGGACGAACCAAAGGAGAAAGGAGGCTAAGGTTTGCTCCAAGTAGTGAATTTGGGAAGAATATCCTCAACATAAAATCAACACAAGATCAAAGGAGAGTGGAGGCATCTCCATGATGGTTTCTACTTCTTTCTTTTGTGTTCTTCCCCTTTCTAGCATGGAGCAGTTACATTTTTCACTTGGGTGTTGTGAAATCCTAACTATTTGCGATGTAGTTGTAGTGTGAATTGAATGATTGTTTATGGGTGTTGTTTAATTTAATGATTGAGGTATTTTTCATGATGATTGTGCATGTTTGTGCTTAGCAATCTAATTGGCCATTCTAACCTAGGTTAGAGGGGAAACCCCCTTTTTCAAAGAGGCTCAATTGAGTTGGGATTCCTTGGGGTTTTCAAGCCACCTACCTAGGTTAATGTAGGACAAACCTCAATCTTGAATTAAACGACTAGGTTAATCGTGATTAACCCGTCCAACCATCGGTTTGAGGGAGAAGGTAAGTCAACCCTCACTACAGGAAAAAGCACTTTTACCTAGGGTAAAAACGTTAGTTAACAGTCACAAAACGGTGGTTAATACTTTTGGCTAGGGTAAAAATATGGCGATTAACTTGGCCGTAGGTAAAAGTCAAAGCGGTAGTTTAAAGTGACTATTGACTACCTTTTTTTACAGTAGTTAAAAGTATTGGCTATGTGTTAAATATAACGGTAGTTAAAATTAAGAATTAGCTGGGGTATTTACATATTCACTACTGTTTTTAGTAAACGAACAGTTGTTAAAGCTAGGATATTCACGGTAGTTAAAAGTAACTGTGGGGGAATGATAAACAAAAAGATCAAATAGAGTCTTAAGTTTCAATTGTATTAGTGTCAACATAAACATACCATCTGCAAACCAATAAACGGTTGAATCAAAGTGTAAAGCAAACTGACATTTTTATTAGAAGATCAAATACAGTATTTTACAGTTCAAACTCGCCTAACACATCCTACCACGAGCAGACCCACTACACTACCCATCTTCCTAGAATTTTGCAGAAGTTAACAAGTAGATCAAATACAAAATTGAATAATTTCAGTATGCAATTTTCGGAGGGTTAATTGCATGGTTGGTCACTGAAATTACAAGAAATATTTATGTTTGGTCACTGAAAATATTTAGATTCAATCTTGGTCACTCAAATTAGTTAAATGGTTCAAGTTTGGTCACTCTCCGTCCATTTTCGTTAACTCTAGCTTACGTGGCAGTCAACTTTCATAGTTGACCGTTAAATATGTGACTTTGCAATTAAAAAATTATTAAAAAAACTTTATATTTTCCACCTCATTACTACATTCATTAAAAAATAAAAAATAAAAACCTAATTTCTTTTCTACACACCCTATACCATACCCAACCCAATTCCTATCATCTTTCTCTCAACCCGTCAATTCGAATTGCGTGGACTACTGCTACCGGGTTCTGTTAAAGCTTCCGTATTCCACTCCCACCTTCGCTTGGAACACAGTCGTAAGAAGCTGCTCCGCCACAAAAAAAAGAGCAATGTCAGCTTTCGTCCAAATGCTGCGAGCAGGGGTTCTGCTGGACCATCTCACGTACCCTTTTCTTTTCAAGGCTTCGTCCCGCCTCTTCAAGCTGAAACTCGGCCTCTCGGTCCACGCTGGCACGAAAAAGACTGGGTACGATTCCGATAGGTTTGTAGCAAATTCCATGGTCCATATGTACGCGTCATGTAAGGATATAGTTCATTCACGTATGGTGTTCGACGAAATTCCCGTGAAGTATCTGGTCTCGAGGAACTCAATGGTGGACGGGTACGCTAAGTGCGGAAACATGGGTTTGGCGCGCAATGTGTTTGATTCAATGCCTGAGAGAGATGTCAGTCTCGTGGAGCTCCTTGATCGATGGGTATGTTAAAGCAGGGGGATACAAGGAAGCCATGGTGATGTTTGAGAAGATGCAGGAGGTTACCTAAACGAAAGCCAATGAGGTGACCATGGTGAGCATTCTGAGTGCTTGTGCCCACTTGGGCGAGCTCGAGAAAGGCAGGGTGATGCATCACTACATCACCCACAACTCCTTGCTCAAGACTCTTGTCATGCAAACTTCTCTCATCGTTTCTAAATGGTCGTTGCCCGTTGGAGAGAGGAAGAGATGCCAACGTTCCATACTTGTCTAATCGTTTCTAAATTGACGGGTTGAGAGGAATTGACGGGCTGCGGCGAATGGAAGGAATACCGCTGCCGGGCCGGAAGTTGTGTTCTGGTGGTGGTGAGGTTGGGTCGGGTAGGGTTTTTATCTTTTAGTGACCAACCATACAATTAACCCAATTTTTGGACTTTGCAGCAACAATACATTAACACCAACAACTTTAGTCTCGATTGAGTATCAACAATTGTAAGCCTCTTGACTTCACAGTAATGGATCATCTCTCCAGAAGATTTAATGAACTTAGTTCACAGTCTCCAAACTCAAATTTCCCTCTTTTATTATCCAGCTTCTCCATTTTCCCACTCATTTGGCTGCTTCCCAAACTCCAAGTCTCCAACCCCGAAAAGAGAACACAAGGCCACTCAAAAGTTAAGACCATGTTCAAATTTGTGTTCATCCACGAAACGGGAAGGACAGGAAAATGGCAAAGTGTCCTGACCATGTTAACATTTATATCTCCTATCATGTCAAGCGTAAATCCAGAGTCCAACCTTCAAGATGGCACGACGAAAAAGATCAGTTTTCATATTAATGGTTTCTCCCAGAAGAAGTCCCCTTAGTACGCGTGGCACCAAGTTTGGCCCTCGCGCACATACCCTCCATCTTGTCAAATGGGGTTAATAGGTAGGTGGCACTGCAATGGTGAACAGAGTAACTCTTAGTCGTACATAAAGGGGTAAGAACAAATAGGCCTAACTTAACATATCCGGAACAAACCCATGAGAATGACTTTATTATATATGATCATAAGATTTGTAAAAAAATTACAAAAATACCACTCATTCCAAAGAAATTCCAAATCTACCACTGTTTATTAAAAACCGCTCCACTCAGGGGCGGTTAAAACAGTAACCGCCCACCCAAGCGAGGATTTACCATGGAACCGCCTGCTAGACAAGCGGTTTGTCTTTTTTTGGGAAAAAATCTCTTCAAAGGAGCGGTTTTCATGGTTGCCCTAGCACAAACCGCGTCCTCTAGGAGAGGTTATGTGTCGGCAAGGTAAAACGCTCCACTGGGAAGCGATTTACTATGTCGACACATAAACCGCTCCCCCCAGCGGTTTGTGCCTCGTCACCCGACATCCGACATGTTGGCATGCAGGAGGTTGCTGGGGTGGGGGCTGCATGCCAGACTAAAACCGCTCCCCCTACAGTTTCCAGTGTAAAATTTGCCTATAAAAGGCAGGTCCAGAAAACTCAAAGTCTTCACTCCACTCCTTCTTCTTCAAATTTCAGTTGTGCACCTTTAAATTATTTAGTTTTTGCGATTAACTTTAATTCGTAAGTTTGTTTTGTATTACTTTTCATTGTCATTTGTGATTTTTATATTAGTAACTTAATTACAGTTTTATTGCAGATGGCATTCCAAAAGTTCACGCTTGGGTTGAGGTGGAATGGTTACACGGAAGAGACCGGAAAGGGTGTAAGTTACGTGGGTGACAATTTTTATAAAATGAAGGTCCGTACGAGACTGATGCTTGAAGAGCTCCATCAAATGTGCACTGAGGTTACCTGCATGGATGGCACTAGAAGAGTTGATCGTATGGTGTATCGATATCCAAACAAACATGGCGGGTCGTTGTGGAATGAGGAATTCCTCATTACCACTCAGGAGGACGTTGATGCCATGGTCCAATTTTCGACCACCAATAAGATTAAACAAGCGGAGATGTTTGTTTACACCGAGGCGATCGAAGGCGGTGTAGGTCATCCTGGAGATGGCCAAACATCTGGTATCCACGGTGGGAGTGTATTATACGAAGATCATCCCCACTAGGAGTACCAATACTCGAGCTGGAGGTAAGAGTATCATGATGAAACTTGAGGTCATCATCAATCCTTCCGATCATATGAAGAAGAATCTCAACAAGCGAATGAGAACCAACAAGAATGCTACCAGTACCAACCTGAGTACAACTCCTACCAAAGCGGCGTTAGTTACCACAACTACCATTATAGAGCTAGTGAAGGTGTCTTTCATGATGATCATCATATGGAAGAAGAGGTCAATCCAAGTCCAGTTAGTGACCCTGAGGTTGAAGAAGAGGAAGGCGATGTCAGTGCAGACAGCTTCGATCCTCTTGAAGGTGCTGATGATTCCAGTCCATATTCAAACACAGACGGTGATGAGGTACCTCGTGACCGTGTACCTATCCCGTACTACAATCAAATTCCTAATGAAGATTGGTATGTTGATGCCGACATGGACCCGCCAGAGGTGCCAGTATTGGGTCCACTCACTGGCTTTACGAAGGGCCAACAATTTGCAACGAAGAATGAGGTCCGACACGCTATTGCCACTGAAGCAATGATTCAGAGTTTTAAATGGCACACAACCCATTCCAACACGAAGAGGCTGATGGTTTGATGCAAAAATCAAAACGAGGGATGCAAGGCTAGGGTCCGGGCCATCAAGAGCTAGAGAGTCGGCCATTGGGTCATATCCCTTGCGGTGAACACACACACATGTGTGTCATCAAAACATCCCAAGGCCATCGACAATTGAAATCAAGGGTTATTGTCGCGGCTATCAAACATCTAATTGAGGAGCAGCCTGACCTGAAGGTTAAAACCATTATCGCCGACATTTCTAGTCATTATGGTTATATTATTAACTACAAGAAGGCGTGGCATGGAAAACAGAAAGCAATGGCCGCCGTGTTTGGTGACTGGGAAGAATCATATGCATTCCTTCCCAGATTGATTTTGGCTATGGAGGTGTCTAACCTTGACACCATTTTCTTTCCCCACTACCAAGATGAAGAAATTCAGCCGCCGGTGCCTGGTAACAAGCGCCATTTCAAGCGTCTTTTCTGGTCATTCAAGCCATGTATTGATGGTTTTCCATTATGTGTTCCTGTGATTCAAGTTAATGGAACATTCCTTACCGGCAAGTACAAGGGTACTCTACTGATCGCCAGTGGAGAAGATGCAAATAGAGCAGTATATCCATTAGCTTTTGCCATTGTTGAGGGAGAGAATACCGATAGCTATGGATGGTTCTTCAAAAAAATTCAACTCCATGTCACCAGGCGGACGAACCTAACCATCATCTCTGATCGCCACGCCGGTATAAGGGCTGCCATCTTAGGCTTGGATCCAGCCTGGAAGTGGTCACAGAGATGGTGCATACGACATTTTAAGAGAAACTGGAACCATCATTTCAAGCGAAAGAAGCTTGTTGATAGTCTATGGTGGATCGGTAAGAGTTCTATTTCATTGGCCTATATCTTTTGTTAACTGAAAAAACGAGGACTAAATCAATACAATACAACACTTATTTAGACTCTTTATAAAGTAATGCATGCCTAAAGAAATGGGGTTTTAAGCGATCATCATGATCCTCCCATTTCCTGGGAAAATAGGGTTCTAAGCGATCCTCGGATCCCCCTTTTTATGTCAAACAGGCTGTGTTTCTGAGGAGAAGTATACCTCTCATAAGAGTCTTACGAGTGTACTTTTATTACTCAAAATGGAAGCCTTGCTTACCTTATGTTTTTGTTCGTATATTCATCAGCTTTCGCTTACCAATAGAAGAAATTTAAAGAGAAGATGCAGAATATCTGTCAGCTATGCCCTGAAGGTGCGCAATGGCTTGATGAACATGAACTAACAATGTGGACGTTTCATAAGGACGGAGGTACCAGATGGGGTATTGCCACAACGAACTCAAGCGAGAGTATCAACAATGTCTACAGGGCATGTCGTGCACTCCCCATCTCTGCAATTGTTGAGATGACATTCTGGAAAAAAAACGCATGGTTCGTCAACCGTCTCCACTGATGTGAGAAGAGGGAGGCACAGGGTAAGGTACACTCCGATAAGGCCACAAAAATAATGGAAAAAGATAATCGGAAGAGCTCTCGGCACACTGCCACTGTTATGAACCGAAGTGATGGCGAGTATTCGGTCGAGACCGGGCACTGGGAGGATGAGAGACGTGGGGGTCATCGCCATGAAGTCACCGTCAACTTTAGGACCAAAAAAGGGGAGTGCTCTTGTCAGAAGTATCAGGGTAGAGGTATACCTTGTTCACATGCAATGGCTGTAATAAAGCACAGGAGCAAAGCCCCTCGTCATCTCGTTAGTCCGTTCTTCAACATCGACTCACAAAAGAGCATTTATGGTAAGAGTTTCCGTGCATTGTCCGATGAAGCTTACTGGATAGTTTATGAGGGTAAGGTCATTATCCCACCAATCGAACTTAGGCGGGAAATAGGTCGCCCACGGGTAAAAAGGATTCCAAATGAGATGGATCAAAGTGGAAGACCACACGAGGGCCAAGGCGGTGTTCCATATGTAAAGTACCAGGGCACAATAAACGAAATTGTCCTGGACCAATTGGTCCTCAAAATCCAAGTCCCGATGTGGTGAACCCGGATAATGGCGCATAGATTAATTTCATGCACTTCCACATGGCCCACAGAGTGTATTAATTTCAATGGTTACATACTTGTATTTTGTGTGCTTAAATGGCAACGTTCCATCTTTTTGAATAAACACATCGCTCACACAAACACACTTCTACATGAAACAAAAAATAACTTCAAATAAAAACAACTTGTTTAACTTAACTTAAACAAAACGTAACTTGAAATAAAAACACCTTGTCACACTCATGCATTATTTCGACGATTCACCCTTTGTTTCCTTGTGGAAGTGGTGGAAGATTCCGTAGAAGGACGCTGGTCTGTGCTATGCTGTCGCGGTGCCATGCCAGGTGGCCCCTTGGTGTGCACTCGAGAACTATCCACGCTCATACGGTGGAGAGTGGACTGCCATTGTTGTTGCGGTCGATGCAAAGGTGAGAAGTCTTGGTGGGGACTCAAGGATGAACCATCGGTCCAAGTAGCCGAGGATGTGCCTTCATGAAATGTACTTGGCCGGGGATCATAGTGAAAACTGGGCCGGAGATTGTATTGGAAACTTAGTCAGGGATCATAGTGGTGACCGGGCGGGGGATCGTAGTGGAAATTGGGGCGAGGCTCATGTTGAGTACTGCTATCGTAGAAAGTACTCGGTCGCGGATCGTAGTGAAAAATTGAGCGGGGTTCATACTGAGTACTCGACCCTGCACCTTCGCACACCTCCAATGGAGTAGACACCTTCCACGCCTCAATCGGCTTGATCTCGGGCAAGTGAGGTCGATCCCTTTGATAGACCATTTATTACACATGTTTTTACCCCTATTCTTGAGCCGTTTGAGATGTCGATTCCCATGTTTTAGGCCTATTTCACGCTAGTTTGTTCTTGTTTGTGATATTTCAGGTCCTAGTACGTGAATGAAGGTTTAGGAACGAGTTCGGGGTCGAATGGACAAAGTTTGGACGCTTGGCGAGAAGCTGAGAAGCCACACGGGCATGCCCAAAAGCCACACGGCCGTGTAGGGGCCCCTTGTGGCCGTGTGAAGGCTCGGTAAAAGCCACACGGGCAGACAGGGGAGCCACACGGCCGTGTGGGTCCTGGCCGCGTGGGATGGCTGAAGTCACTTAATCGAAACTCTGTGTTTTGCACACTCACACGGGCAGCCTGGGAGAGTCACACGGCCGTGTGAGTCGGGAATCTCTGGTTTTAAGCCAAATTTTGAGCCAAAGGAGAGGGAGAGCTGGGTTTTGGTTCCCAAACACCCAAGGGACGAACCCTAGAGAGAGAGAGAGCGACTTGGGAACATTCTTGGAGCTATTTTGGAGGATTTCTTCGCCATTGGAGCTCGGGAATCAAGCTTGGAGATGGAGATTGAAGATCTAGATAAGATTTCTGCAGTCTCTCTCTTCTCTATGGAGTAACTTCCCTTCACTTAGGTTTTGAGGAACCCTAGTTCCATGTGTTAGGATCTTTCTTGTATGAAGTTTTGGATGCTATATTGTATGATTATAATCAATTGAGGCATGATTTATAGAGTCAATTGAAGCCTGATCATCTTCTCTTGATTTTTGCTTTAACCTATGATAGATAGAATCTGATTAGGTTAAGAGAGCTTCCTTAATTGATAGTGGTGGATTGGTTGTGCGAGAGTCAATCAATTCACTGCTTTGTACTGGAATTCATTCCAGTAGTGGAGATCTGTGTGAATCGCCTTAGCAGTCTATCCCGGTGAAGGCTAGTCGCCTGCCGGGTATTCTGTCTAAGAGGGCTTGGTCAGCTTAAGAGATTCCAAGCTAATTTAGGATCTTCCGCAGTTTAATCAACAGTAGATCAACCAAAGGTAATTGCAACTTGGACCTAATTGATGAGCTAGAGGGAATCATACCTAAGTGAGATCCCAACTTGTAATTAGTAGAGTAGTTAGTAGAGTAGTTTAGTAAATCAATCCTTAATCTAGTTTGCTAGATAATGAACTGAAGCTGAGTAATAGTAACTCTAGAGACCCGTGGATTCGATATTTATTACTTGTGCCACTATACTGCAGTCCCTTTCATTGGTTACACTTGGCCATTGTAAGGTGTTGTGTTTTAGCGAGTCACCCTTGTTGCCTTGTTTGGCCTTCTATTGACCGGCGGAGGCACGTGGGGGACATCTTCCGTCATCGGTCGCGATGTAACTGGGGGAACTAACGTGTATATGTGATGGTCACGGGAGAGCGCTCTCATACAGCCCAGGAGACTGTTCGCTATCCTTCGAATGAACCCCACCTCTCGCTCCGCCGCCAAAGGATATGCAGTATGAGTGAGGTCATGTATACGCTAGATGCCATCAACTTAAATCGCAGAAAATAACAACGTTAGCCATTTAAGTAGTAATGCTTTGCACGACTAAATATATTGATGCTTAAAGTAAATAAATAAATAAATTAATATGACTGAATTACTTACCAAAGCTCCGTCCGCCGCACCTTTGGGGGTCATGTAACGTACAGATTGTCTTCGGTATGTTTCCATGTATGGGTCATGGTAGCCCAACCGCCCCACAGCTGTGGCCGTCACAATCTCCTGATCTTGCCTATTATTCCACAGATCGGTCAATTCTTCAAACTCCTTGGGCCAATTAGTAGATCCTTGTCGACCATCTTTCCCGTGGTACCCCCTATGACTCACCGGGACTTCCAATGGTAGGCATTGTTCACGTCCGAATTGTCATAGACATCGATCTGACAAGTGCCACTCCACTATATGGAGGCAGATTAGTGGCACTCGGGTGCACCATTGAATGGGATGCAACGGGAACTTGTGAACGTGATGCGCGACGATGCGTTCTAGATACGGATCGAACTTAAGCTAAGAAGGTGCAGAAAAAATGGACCATCAAGAAACATGATAAAGAAAGTTGAAAATAGAGTAGAAAGTAATAGTGTATTATGAGGGTTACCTCTGCTTCCCAAAGGTGATCCAACCTCCTACGATACTCCTCCAGCTTATGCGCTCCCAGGTTGTCGCATGTTGTTTCACCAAGCCACCTATTAATATGGAAAAGTACACAACGTTAATACATACTAAAAATTTCGTTACAAAATACTGAATTAGTAAAAAAAGGTGAGAACTATGAGTGGGATAGAAAATTTTCACCTACAACCATAAGCTTCATGTCGTAGAAGGATGGTCGGGTGCCCATTCCTTGTCAGGTCAATCCATGGAAAATGCTCCCAAGCCCAAAATTGGACGATGAACATGGCCCCATCAATCTCCTTCACCGCTTTCGAACTAGCATTACAGAGGGAGCGGTAGAGATGAGCTAGGCAAGCAAATGCCCAGCTCAGGTTTCCCATATCAGCCCAATCTCCAAATATGATCTTCAACCATGAATTGCTGATTAAATGTTGGATTTTTTGGGAAAGAAAACTCCTCCGATCATGCCGAGGATGTAGATACGTGCATAAATTTCTTTATCACTCTCCGAACTTTCCTCCATGAGGGGAATGCCTCCGACCTCAGGGTTGTGCTCCCGCCTGATCTCCGGTGTCAACCAAGTGATGGATGGCCCTTAGACAATGGTGGATTACCATCCGCATCGTGATCTCCCTTTTCTGGAGGACACAACCCGGGGACGGTCCATATGAAATGCTGCCAACCACTCGTATTGGAAACAACTTTAGCTGGTGGCGTAGAGTCCACACAAATAACATCGACATCGATGGGAAAATCGGTTAGTATGGCGATGTCCTTAAGTGTGACGGGGCACTCGCCTTCACGAAAAGTGAAGCAATGTGTCTCCTTTCGCCACCTCTTTACCAATGTTCTGATGAGTTGGCGGTCGATCTTTATTCCATTAAAGTGCGTAATCGGATCCAATCTTGCCGTTTTTGGAAAGGTCAAGATGATGTTGTTCCATTCAAGCACATTCGTCGTACCCCTATAGCGGACTATATGGTATGCATCCTAGAGAAGAATTTAACTTTCACCATAAGTTTATGATATATACACATATAAATCTATTATAACAAACAATATAAATTAATGAAATCAAGGTTGTTTCCGAGAAAATACATAATTTAATAAACATTAATATTAAGCTAACTAAAATAATTAAATAAAATGAATATCATTTTCGAAACTTAAGTAAAATTATTTTTGTACACATACACATAAAATCAAATATATTATTTTGTACTTCGTATTGATTGTTTTAATAATTTAAAGCAATACAAGTACACTCGTAAGACTCTTAGGAGAGGTATACATCTTCTTAGAAATACAGTCTGTTTGACAGAAAAAGGGGGATCCGAGGATCGCTTAGAATCCGATTTTCCCAGGTCATGGGAAGATCATGATGATCGCTTAAGACCCCGTTTCCTTAGACATGCATTTCTTTATAAAGAGTCTAAATAAGTATTGTATTGTATTGATTTAAATTATTGAAAATAATCAATACGATTAACAAATAAGTAATTTATTGTACAAACAAATAAATTACGTTAACAAAATAAAAATTACAACTGATGATAAATAATATGTACCTTGTTTTCGTTCCAAACGTCTCTTGAACGATGATTGGATTGATCGTATAAAATAGTCGGATCAATCGGTCCTTGATCAACATAATATCGTTGATTGTATATATCAACATCCGGTCCAACCTACGATAGCATAACAATAACATAAATCAATCAGTATATAAATTAAATAAACCATTATAACAACAACAAAAATTGGGTAAAATGAGTACGTACCGCTTGATAATCATCAATAAATACCCTCTTCTTGGATAAAAGCGACCATTTTTTCAGGATCCGGACAGAGATTCGACGGTTTTTTAGTGAAACCCAAAGAAAAGTTTTTTGAAGGCAGATCGGACTTAGCCGCAACCAACAAAACAACTACTTCCATGGTTTGGGGTGGGGAGGTGGATGGCTAGAGTGAGAAACTTATAGAGAGAGGGGGGATTGGGGGTTTGGTGTGAAGAAAATGAGAGGAAGGGGGTGGGTTTATATAGGGCAAGAACCGCGTGCTGGAGGGGCGGTTTGGTATTTTTACCCCACCAAAAAACGCGCCTCCAGCATAAGGTTTACACTTCCCAACGCACAAACCGCTCCCTTGCGCAGCGGCTAGCAATCCGCGATGCGGATCGCTCCTCTGGCAGGCAGTTAGCCGTCAGATCGCTTGCCCATCGTGCGGTTGCATGGACCGCCATGTGGAGGCACATTTTAGCAGCTGCCCAGTGGCAAACCTCCCCTTGCCTGCGCGGTTTGAATGAGAACCGCGTCTTCGAAGCGCGGTTTAAGGGGGATGGTGATAGATTTGGAATTTCTTCGGAATGGGTGGTATTTTTGTAATTTTTTTTAAATAGTGGTAGTTTTGGATTTTTCCTGGATAACATGGGTATAAGGAGAAACAAGAAGAGTTATAAAACTTTTAATTCTGAAGCTGCTTATGTGTAGCATATGTCGTTCGTCATAACTTGCAGTCCATCAGCGAAGAACCCATTCTCATCGAACAAAACATGGTAGTGAAAAGGTTTGTTAGTTCCCTGCAGCAGAGGTTATCGAGGGTTATAGCATATATATATACCTGAATTCCAGCCTGGCTTTTTAGGTAGAAGTCCAACTCAGTTGGGTGGCAAATTCTAGTAGCACCACAGTCCCTATGCACTAAATAAGCTACCTAACATGCACAAAAGAAACATAACTTGTAGAAAGTGATACTAAAAGGACTGAGTAGAAACTTGAAAGCATGTTGCAACTCCTGTCTGTCATGCTATGATTTTGATGAACTTTCCACAAGAAACAAGTATGATGCCTCTTCTGTACATGACAAAAAGTCATGAATTAAGTTGGGTTTGGTCAAAGCAGTCCCCGATTCATGCCACGGAGAATCAACACTGCCACCACCTCTGTTATACAAAGCAGTAGATTGACTAACTCTCGTATAACCAATTCACCACCATCAATCAAGGAAGCTCTCTTAACCTAATCAGATTCTATCTATCATAGGTTAAAGCAGAAATCAAGAGAATTTGATCAAGATTCAATTGACTCAATAAATCATTCCTCAATCGATTATAATCAAACAATATAGCATCCAAAACTTCATACAAGAAAGATCCTAACACATGGAACTAGGGTTCCTCAAAACCTAACTGAAGGGAAGTTACTCCATAGAGAAGAGAGAGACTGCAGAAATCTGATCTAGATCTTCAATCTCCATCTCCAAGCTTGATTCCCGAGCTCCAATGGCGAAGAAATCCTCCAAAATAGCTCCAAGAATGTTCCCAAGTCGCTCTCTCTCTCTCTAGGGTTCGTCCCTTGGGTGTTTGGGTACAAAAAACCCAGCTCTCTCCTTTCCTTTGGCTGAAAATCGAGTTTTAAACAGAAATTCCCGATCATGCGGCCAGGCCACACGGCCGTGTGGCTTTCCCAGCTGCCCGTGTGAAGGCTCGGTGATTTCCACACGGCCACGACCCACACGGCCGTGTGGAATTCCAGGATGCCCGTGTGGCTTGCTCAGCCTCTGTTTAATGCTTCG